CTTCGATTTATTAGAACGTAGACTCCTCCAAAATTGCGGATGGACTCATAGACAGGGATAGTATTCCAAGAGTTTAAATAAACGTTTAGTTTTTCAGAACTTCTGCTCTAAACGTTCGGGGAGCCAAATTTTTTTATGGATTTCGAGTGCGAGCGCCGAAGGCGCGAGAAAAATTTTGAATTTCTAGATTCATTAGAACGCTATTTCACGTATTTTAGGATGAGGTTGGAAGAAATGTTACAAGTACAACCACAAAAAGTCGCCTAATTTTGTTAGATTCCATTTCCAAAATGTCCACCTATTTCTTTTTTCGACACAAAATGATGTCTTTCAGATTTTAGCCCGACCGACTTTTTTTCGTCCCATACAGGATTCGGGACCGACTTTTTAGATATATTTCACAAAACATGGGGGTGTCACCCCCCCCCCCACACACACACACACCCTAATGTGCGCCCCTGAGTTTAGTGCAAACAATACATTAACCAACTTGTCTTGTATTTCAATCCATAGTCGTTTCTCCCCGCTTCTCTGCCTTTTTTCAGTATCTATATGTCTTCTCAGAACTCTTTTGTAGTCTTGCAGCAATTATAGTTCTTGTCTTTGTTTTCGCCTTTTCGAAAGCCTTCACTGTTCGCTCTTCATGATAATCCGCCATATTTTTGAGATCAGTGATGACGTACCCGGCCACCCACCAACCTTGAACGGTAACCCAAGTAGCCGCGATATTTGATAAACTTCAGACTTCGCTTTACCAGGGTGTAGATAGCCGTGCAGAATTAGTACCCTCGCCCCAGGCTTACGCCCGGACGGCGCTTTGCGCCGTGGCTCAGGTGTATCATGAAAATGTATACCTTTCGAATTCAAATTTGATTTAAATTTGAAAGGGTTAAACATTTTTTGGTTACGCCCTGTGCATATTATTCTTTAGGGCTTAACTACTAGGATGAATAAAAAGTTCCAACACATTACGTGTTTGTGAATTTCAAACAGCCATATCAGAATGAACAACACCACAACAGATATTGCCACCAGTGATGCATCAACGAAAAACTCGATGGTTTTTCTCTTGTCAAAATCGCCTTCCCTGTTGCTGAGGTAATATGCAACAGAAGCAATGCAAATCAGCAGAAATGTCTAGGTATAAGATAAAATAACAAGCAAAATTATTTAGGGTTCGTTTGTTAGTTATATGTACTATTCACTCTATCTATACTGGATCATTAACTGATCTGCCTACGCCATAATCTGGTTTACTAAAAAAAAATCTTACAGCTTCCAAAAATTTCAAAATGATTGACGCTGTCTTCAGACACTTTTCCCCGCAACATTCATCTTCTTCTGCCATGTTAAGTCTACCTGAAAAGATATTGCGTTAAAAATAGTTTGGATTAAAACGTCTATGCAGTATATTTAGCGTTGACGCCTTAAGTGGGGCTAAATTACTTAGACAACCGCGAAAATGCTATCAGAAAAAATATCCTCTCGAGCAGTCCTAGCTGAATGCTGCTTTATTAAAGTAGGTCTATAGGAGCGAAGCTATCAGCGGCGGCGGAACAGGTGGGGCTAGGGGGGGGGGGGGTTTAGCCCCCCCCCAAAAAAAAGATTTTTTTCTGGAACAATTTTGATAATTAAGGAAAAATTTAAGGTATTTTTTTAAAATTTAGGTATAAGGGGGAAAATTTGCAATATTTTGTTAAAAAAATGTATGTCCTGAAAATTCTTTTGTGATATATCCGGAAAAATGTTTTGTTATATCGTGTTTCGCTCGCTACTCTGGTTTAGATAAATGATTACAAAGCCCAGTCGAATTGTAATCAAGACCCAACGTTTCGACACTCCAGTCTAGTGTCTTCATCAGGGGTGATCTAAAGATGCAATCGTGGCTTCTTAAATACCCAAGGGATGACGTCACAGGTCTGCCAATGAGATGCATATATTCCTCTGGCAAATGGGCACCGTCATCCCTATTCAAAGCATGATTACTCATATTTATATGTCACGCTTCTAGGCAAAGTCTTTGACCTAGAAGACTTTGCCTCAAAGACTTTGCCTCATGCAAAGACTTTGCCTAGAAGCGTGGCATATAAATATGAGTGATCATGCTTTGAATAGGGATGACCGTGCCTATTTGCCAGAGGAATATATGCATATCATTGGCAGGTGACGTCATTCCTTGGGTATTTAAGAAGCCGCGATTGCATCTTTAGATCTCCCCTGAAGAAGACACTAGACTGGAGTGTCGAAACGTTGGGTCTTGATTACAATTCGACTGGGCTTTGTAATCATTTATTTAAACCAGAGTAGCGATGGAAACATGATTGATATACCTGGTTGCAGTGAACGAACAAACTTTAAGTTTTGTGCTTTTGCAAACTTTTTTGCATATATGTCCGGAAAATTTTTTGGTTTATGTCCGAAAAAATAGTGGCGACGGGGGGGGTAAAAATTTTAATCACGAAAAACAAATTTAGCCCCCCAAAATAAAATATGTTCCGCCGCCGCTGGAAGCTATACCAATGAGCTGTGATATATATCGTGACACTGAAACGATAAGCCGGGGCTGGGCGTCTATAAGATATAGGTGGTGGAACGACAACATAATCGTATGAAACATGTATGATGCGCTTTTGGCCTGGAGCTAACCACGGTCAGCTGAAGATTTTAATAGAAGGAAAAATAAGTACGCGTAGCGTGAGTCGCGGATAGTTGCACAATTAATATTAGTAGTTGACCTTATACCCATTCTACTTATACATATTTTATGCAAATGATATGTCGTATACTGCTAAACGGAATAAAAAATGCAAAGAATAAAAGTTATCCAAAAATACGTTTATTATCATCATCATATATATTAATACAGTTTTAGCTTTTGTTGTGCATATGGTTAAACAAAAATGCATTCTCACAGACTAGTTTGCACAGACTAGTTTTTATAAAATAGCATGTATATAACGCGTGCTCTGATTGGTCGAAACCCGTGTTTGGATCAGGCCATCCAAACACGGAAGACTATCGTGTTGTTGTTATTTTATAAAACAATTACTTTATGGTTTC